ATTTCGCAAGTCTAGTGCCATAAGCAGCAAAAGTCCATTTCTAGTGTTGTTGTCAAATGCATTTCAAACCAGCCTGGTTTTTGATTTACGTTTTGGAATAGAGTTTGGAGAGGGCGTTTGATTAATTCAGATCTACGTTTTGAATTTGAATTACATTTTAAAGAAATTAGAACTACATTTTGGAAAATTTGAACTACGTTTTCAAAAATTAGAACTTCATTTTGGGAAACTAGATCTACATTTTGAGAAATTTACGCCTACGTTTTGATAAATCAGACATTGAATTTTGCAATTACATTTTGATTTTAACATGGACTTTTGCTGCGTATGGCACCCCATATATTTGTGGTGGGAATACACTACCAGATCGTTTGATCTAGACAGATCAGAAATATGGCTAACAGCGCCCACTTTGGCGGCATGAGTTTTCATAAACTTTTTCGGTAAAGAGTGCAAAGGCTATAAAATCATGGAATAATACGTTTAGACTTATTCCTCCATAGTACAATCCAATTTGAGGCCCCACAACACTTTTTCCAAGTACCAACCAACTAAAAATTTATTTACACAAAGCTAACACTAAAATTGGAGACTGAGACTACCCCAAATTGTCAGATTCCCAAAGTGATGCTATTTTCCTTCTACCACTACCGTCGGTGACCATGCGGTTTACGATGCTTCTTAATTGTTTGCTGACACATTTAACCAAAAATCATATTCTATTCTGGTAACCGACAAAAAGAGATACGGTATTTGAACTTTAACACAGCAGGAACAAACCTGGAAAAATAATAACTTATCTCGACCTAGTGTTTTATCTCCAGCTAGCTTCAGCTTCCAAACCTTATCAGTGTTTAATGATGTATTTTATTTATATAGATTTAGTGCCTCAATGACATTATTAGACCTCTAACTCATTCAATCTGTATTACACACCTGAAGCAAACTGATTCCATCGCCCCTTCGCGGTTTCGTGTCTTGTTTACATGATTTGATTTTCTGAAAACTTTTTTTTTGTAACAAATTAACAGTCTCACCACACAAGACATAGGTAGCATAGAAAACAGTTAGCCCCCCAACAGTTTTCTGACTGATAATTTCATAAATTTTCCGGAAAACGTGAAAATGGGTTTGGAAAACAAACTCTCGTCTGCCGAATATGATTTTGAACGCGGAGAGAAGAAAGGAAAACTTTGTAAAATCAGCAAAGACTCTGTTCTGCTAATTCTTTTAATTTCATCTGTAATCTTAGGTTTCTTTTTTGGTTGGTTATTCGGCAGCATGTTTGATTTCACCCCGGAACAAATTGATTATATATCGTTTCCTGGTGATATTTTTATGAGTATGTTGAAAATGATGATTCTGCCGCTGATTTTCTCCAGTTTGGTGTCCAGTCTAGCATCTCTGGACTCATCGATGTCCGGCAAGCTGGGCGTCAGGGTGGTTGTGTACTACATTTCAACAACTATCATTGCCGTTTTTCTTGGGATCTTGTTGGTTCTAACTATAAGACCTGGTGAAATCAGCGGAAATGTGAGTAAGAACACAGAAGAGGAGCAAACTCTTGGAACAGCTTATGCTCTTATGGACCTAATCAGGTAAGTGTAGAAAAATATACACTCTGGTAGTTACTCCTTGTGAGATTAGCTCCATATTTCAGTCTCTCGAACATCACCGTCGAATTTCAGCACTCTTTGCATTATAAATATTTTTTGGGTCACTGTTCTTTTTAGCTTTGTTCTATTGTCCCTTCCTTTCACATCTTTTCTAGGTTAACACAAGCGTCTGCACGTGTTCACACATGCTTTGTTTTTACACCCACTTTCCGCAATTTATCTCATTCCAATTCATTTATTCCCAGAATGTCTGTCCTTTAAAATAAACTTTCATCACATTTTCTTCCTGCTTTAGTACAATATTTAACTTTTAAAACGCAATATCAATCGTATCAATCTACTCTCCCTTTCTTAGTTTTCATTTCTTCCAGTAGATTTAAGGATTTTCGTCTCAGCAAAAAGTCTGAAAATCATTACCAACTGATATATTTTACCACTGGTGACTTAAGATGTTTGCCTTCCTGTTTCATGAAAGAGCGGATCTAGGGGAGGGGGAAAGCCAGCCCACCTCCCCCACCCACTTTTGGAAAGTTTAAACATTAAAAAAAAAAACAAGAAAGAAAAAGAATTATTGATCGCACAAAACGCCTTAGCGGTCATTTCCGGGAGTCTAGTAAACAACAATTTCGCGGTGGAATTACCCCGGACCTCCTAGATATGTCTCTCGATCCACCCCTCTTTTGTCCTCCTATTTGATATTCCGGGATCCGTTCTGCCTTGGTCCTGGGTGTAATAGACCGAGGCGGCGGCTCGGGTCACGTGACTTATAGTGGGTATAAAGCCAGTTACTCACTGCGTGCGACGGCAACGCGACGAAGAATTCACGGGAAGGCGCGGACCCAACGGAGTCTTTTTAATAAGGATCGCCCGTTCAGATTGCAATCAGCAGACGGCGTTGCGGCGTCTTTCGCTCACCGGAAGCAAGTAGATTCATCGTTCGACGGTCGTACGACCCAGTGAGTGTGCGGCTTTAGGGTTTGTTTACATCGCGAGGAGACGACAGTGCATTGAATGTCTTTGCCTTGTTGTTGATGTAAGTCACATATGTTGAAAATGTTGGTTGGAATGCGAGTTATAATTTGGTAAATCACTTAGAAGTGTATTACCTATACTAGAGATATATAGTCGAGATATCCCTCCCTTCTCCGGGCCCTGGTCAAGGCTAACACGATCACAGTGCAGCCTAGGCCTAGCCTAACTGTATGTAGCCTACCGTACACAGCAGCATTCCAGAGCCTAAATAAAATGCACGGAGATTGCCAAAGTAATTATAAATCACTATTTAAAAAGAAATATAGCCCTACTGCCCTACTTTACTTTGGGTCGCTGTCTAAAAAACATAATAACTCTGTCAATATCAGTGATTTCAATGAGCACACTGTGGTTTACGATGTGCATGTTTATAATTTGTACCCGCTATAATTATGTCACGTCACGTGACAATTAAGTAATTGCTGGAGTCGCCGATTTTGTTCTATTCCTGTCCGTGTTACCACGACCCTCTAAGCCTCATAATGAGTTTAGAGCATCAATGTTTGTCTTGTGAAGGGACTGTCAGTAACTATTTTTACTATGGGTAATCTTTGGCCTGTGGCCTAAATGGATAAAATAAGATAAAAAAGGTTTCATGATTAACAATAGGCCCTACATTTGATTTCATGACTTCTATTATATACCATGAATGTATGAACAGCCGAACATTACTTCATGATAAGTGATTGTTCTAATGTAGCCTAGTAGTAATATCTGGTTCAGCTTATCAAAATGTAAATGGCTATAGTACATTTTCGACGAAAATCACCAAACATCCATTCATCGTATCTTTCGGATGATAACATAATGTTGACAGTAGCTTCGTAAATACAATAGGTCTTTTTCACGCTGTGGTAGACATCTTCGATCGATGACAAACAATGCTGAGCAGCGTAGCGTAACCAACAGAAATAACATAGCGTTTCGGCCATATTTTCGGAGGTCATGTTACCAAAAAAAATCATATATCCTTAACGGCAGGTCATGTCAACATGTTTTCTTTTTCTTTAAAATAATTGCAAAGCATATATCTACGTACCGTATGAATAAAAAAAATGAATATTTATTTAGTCTGTCAAAACTTAACTGGAAAATAGAAGACCGATTTTGTATAGTGCGTGTTGCTATTATTTCAATTAAGTTTTGACAGATTAAACACATTTTTATTTTTTTTGTTACTCATACAGTACTTAGATATATCCTTTGCGAGCATTTGAAAGAAAAAAATATGTTGATACGACCCTCCGTTAAGGAGTTACGGTATGATTCTTAAAGTAACATGATCTCCGAAAATATGGCCGGCACGCTAATGATATTCGGTCGAACAGTGCGAAATATGGCAATGCGTGTGTTAACACTACACAAAATCGGCCTTCCATTTTCCAGTTTAGTTTTGACAGACTAAACACATTTTCATTTTTTTTTTATTCATACAGTATGTAGATAATACGGAAGCTTAAAGTGACCTTCTGGGAAACATGGAATAAACACTTATTAAGACGTCTTTCCGAGATAATTTATCTCGGAAAGACGTCTTTCCAAGATAATTTATCTTGGAATTCCGTTTTTCCAAGATAAGGAATTCTAAGATAAATTTTGAGTATATTTCCCGCACGATTAAAATCGTAACGGTACTGGTTTTGGTACGGAAGCTTAAAGTGACCTTCCGAGTTTCGTACAGGTCATTTCATTCATAGAAAAAACTTTATTGGAGAAAGCGTCCTGTCGTTAGCCATAGTAGCCTAAGTCAACACTCCGGCGATATAAAATTATTTATAAAATTGAAAAATGTTAATCTTATTATTGTAGTAGTGATACTATGTACACGATTTAATTATTGTTATTTATTCGTTAACGTCATTATTTTAAATTTAAATTTAATGTACTGTTTAAGTATGAATTACTATGTCCATGTTAAAATAATCTTATCTATCAAAATTGTATATTTAAATAATATAGTAATGGGCAAGCCGAGGTATAGCCTAAACAAGTGACTATATGTGAGTGTATAAAATTATGAAAAATACTGTATGATTAAAACGCAAATTGTAAAAGAATAAAGGAAGAAGGAAGAATAGGAAAGAGATTTAGAGCGGCTGAAATATCTTCCGGAAATATAACAATTTACATTGAAATACAATAATATTTACCACAACTTTGAACTTGAACAAATTAAATATAGGCCTGTTCATTGGTAAGTCACAGGTAGCTTAACTTTCCTTACTACAGCTTTCAGGCTATCTTGGAAGTTTGAATTTCGTCTCGATATTATCTTGGAATTCCGTCTTTCCAAGATAAAGTATCTCAGAATTCCGCCTTTCCAAGATAAAGTATCTTGGAAAGACGTCTTTCCAAAATAACGTATATTGGAAAGACGTCTTTCCAAGATAATTTATCTTGGAATTCCGTCTTTCTAAGATACGTTATCTTGGAATTTCGTCTTTCCAAGATACATTATTCTGGAAAGATGGAATTCCAAGATTATCTTGGAAAGACGGAATTCCAAGATAAGTTATCTTGGAAAGACGTCTTTCCAAGATACATTCTCTTGGAATTCCGTCTTTCCAAGATAAATTATCTTGGAATTCCGTCTTTCCAAGATAAATTATCTCAGAAATCCGTCTTTCCGAGATGAATTATCTCGGAAAGATGTCTTGATAAGCATTTATTCCATGTTTCCAAGATAATTATCTTCGTAACTCGGAAACGCGGAAGGTCACTTTAAGCATCCGTAGATATAGCATTTGCGAACATTTTAAAGAAAAAATTATGTTGATACGATCCTCCGTTAAGGATTTATGATTTTTTAAGTAACATGACTTAAATATATGGTCGAATGTGTTTTATCTATGTTATTTCTATTGGTTACGCTTCGCTGCTCAGCACTGTTTGTCATCAATCGAAGATGTCTACCGCAGCGTGAAAAAGGCCTATACTTTTACAATATTTACTAACTCTTACTATAAATTAAGAAGTTCAACACGAGCTTCTGCACGTGTTCACAAATGCTTTGTTTTTACATCCACTTTCTTCACTTTATCTCATTCAAATTCATTTCCCAGAATTTCTGTCCTTTAAAATAAACTTCCATCACATGTTTTTCCTTCTTTAGTACAATATTTAACTTTTTATAACGCAAAATCAATCGTATTAATCTACTCTCTTTCTTAGTTTTTATTTATGCCAGTAGATTTAAGGATTTTCGTCTTAAGATGTTTGCCTTCCTGTTCCATGCAGAGGCGGAAAGGGGAGGGGAAAGCCGGCCCCGCCATCCCCCCCCCCATCCTACACATTTAGAAAGTCTAAAAAAAAAGAAAAAGAAATTATTGATCACTCAAAAGGCCTTAGAGGTCATTTCCGGGAGTCTAGTTAAAACAACAATTTCGCGGGGCATTACCGCGGACCTCTTAGGTTATCCTGTGGGTGTAATTCCTGTCCGTGTTACAGGATTTACCACGACTAAAACAACACCACCCTCTAAGCCTCATAATGAGTTTAGAGCATCATTATGTTTGTCTTGTGAAGGGACTGTCAGTAACTATTTTTATTGGCAATCTTTGGATTGTGGCATAGACATAATAAGATAAAAACGACTTCTTATATACAATGAATGTATAAACAGCCGAACATTACTTCATGATAAGTGCTTCATGATCAATTTAAGTAGGTTCAATGACATACAACGATTTCCAGCTAGCGTGACTAATTATTAGTCTTCATTTAATCAGCGATATGCGATAAGAGGGAACTTCAAAGCGCTATCAACTTCAAAGCACTTTTGAAGTAAATCGTTTTTTCCGCCTATAGGTCACCCTCTGTTGGTAAATTCTACTGACGTCAATAACTTGGGTTAATCTTAGAATAAAGTATATTTGACATGCTTAGTGACCTCTAGTGTTTTTATGCCAAGAAAACAAAAATTTTTCACAGGGACAAGTGCCAAAAACTAG